TCTAATTTTGACAAAGGAAAAGTTATTTGGCTTCTTGATTTTCAATTGTTTCCTATAAATATAATTGTTCAGTAGTTTAGTTGATTCGATTTATAATCTAAAATTGTTGGAAATCCAGATTTTCGCAAATTTAGATTGACAATTGTCAAAATTCGATCAGTCGAATTCTAACATATTTTACAAAAATGATCCATTGTTTAGTATTTCAAAAGTATTTTATGAGAAATGGATTGAAATATCAATCTCTAGTTAATCCATTTCAAAAAAAGCAAAATCATTCCTTCAATTTATTCGTGTAGATAATAATCTAAAAATGATGATGAAAATTCCAGAGCGAAGGCAGATACCAAGCGGACAACATGGAGAAGTTCTTCACAGACTTCAACAAGGCGCAGCAGATGAGGGTAACGAGGCCTGGAGCACACCTCGAGAGGCCCAGATACCCGCACAACATGCTCAGTGCTGAACGGCTGGAGATGGAACACAAGCAAAGGTGAGTTCTTTTATGGAGATTAATACATATGGATTCTATTTTTTTTTAATTAACTGTATTTTTAATAGTTAAACACTTAAATAGTTTTAGAGAAAGCATTGTGGGGTGCCTTTTTCGAACCTAATTCGCTGTTTTGCTGATGATTTTTCTTTTTTTTCTGCTTCAAGTGCCATCAAATTTCTATAATTTTATTTTATTTTGTTGTGTGCTTGTATTATCTTGTATACAGTAGAACTCAATTATCCAATTATGGGGACCGGACCCATTCGGATAATCACAAATGTAGTCGGATTTTTAAAAAAAAATTGCCATTGGAGAGAATAAAAGCTACGTTTTGATATTGCACTATTTTTTTATTGAATTAAATGAAAGAAACATGAAATTTTCACATGTTTTAAATATAAATAAAATTCATTGTTTTGTATCATGTAAGTGTTTTCGGTCTTCAACTTTTGGGAGTAGGTAGATTGTTGAGTGAGATTGAAGTGGTAACTGATTGGATAAGGTGAAGTGGTGAATAGGGTGTTTTAATTTGTATTTTTTTTTTGTGAAACTTATTATTACTTTAATTGTTACATATTTTAGATGTAAGATTTTGTAAAATAATTAGTGGATTTAGTACTGTGTGTGATGTCGTAAGCTTAATGACTAAATAAATAAACACTTTAAACCATTGAAAATTTGTGATTTCAGAATGAACAACTTTCGTGGCAGTGAGAACTCAGGTCGCGCGGCAGGTGATGGTGATGATGATCTGGACTTCGATCCCTTCAAAGAGACACAGAAAGCTTTAGCAGAGATGATGGAGTCAGAAATGATGCTGAATAATATATCTAGCGGGTAATGGGCTATAGAACTTTTTTTTTATTTCTTAAATTACACAATATATATTTTTTTTTCTATCAAAAACAGTCTCCGACGAAATAAAACTCCAAGTTAGTATTAGACAGGTGAACACATATTATTTAGTTCCATTCTACTAATCTGTGACCGTTTTGTACCTTGACTGATATATAAAAAAGTGTGTGTGTACAAAGTACACGTCATGTCAGAAGTGAAACTTCTGTGGCAAACTAATCTTTAAGTGTTGTTCATATTTATACAAATCTAAAAGTTTAGATTTCCGATAAGTACTTAGAGGGACGGAAAAAGGAAGATATGTTAGGAATTCAATGAATTTAATTTTCATTAAAATATAAAGTGTCGAATAATAAATGATTAAAAAAAAAATAACTTAAAAAAAAAAATATTATTACAATTCCTTCACTAATTAATCAACTTAATATTTCAAACTTTCAAATTAATATATTGTTATTCTTATTGTAAACCAAACTTCAAAACTAATATATTGTTGTTATTATTATCATATACATATTATATTCTTTACGTCACTATACTAAACTTTGATAAAAAAAAGCAACATGGCTCGTAACCGAAAAACGTGACGATTTTTTACAAAATTTCTCCCATACGTCGATAAAGAAGTTTCACTTCAAAAACAATATTTTAGGTGTATTTTTCCCGTTTCTACAACATTTAAAAAGCCCTGCTTCTATTAGTCGTGTCGTGGTGTTATATATAGGTAAATGGTCCCAACAGAATGGACATAAAAGAATTACTACATAAAAACTCTTAGGTATAAATGTATTAGTATAGTTAAATTTCTGTACAGTGACAACATGGATCTAGTTCGTCGCACGCGCATGCCGCCCCCTGGTTTCAGTCACGTCAACGTCTATGGAAGACATCCCTCGCAACAACAAGGTAAGCTTTTAAGTGTTTAGACAGATTACGAAATTCCACCCGTATCTCTTCGACACAGCATAATGACATGACAGCTCAAATGCTTGGATTATCTTTACTATTTATATAAAACATTCGTATATTTAAGTCTCAGGGCGGTTGCAGACTAGCGTTTTTTACACGCGTATAAGCTCTTCTTAGAAAGCGCCACTCGTACAAGCGTTGACGTGCTTCTAAGCTTGTATAAGTTCGCAGTTCTGGGTAGAGTGTATTAAAGTGATCGGTTCTGTCTTGATGCAACCATCGATGATATCCAGAATCTGTTTCGTCTTCTCAGTGGACGGCGAATAAGTAACGCAAGTAGCAATGTGTCTTCGTCAGAATCCATGTTGATACTGACACGACGCCATTACCGGTTCGACCGAACACGCCGAAATATGCCAGTTTACTCGCGTCCGGTTTTTTGAAGCGCGTATGCTGAAATGACCGTACGATACGCGCAGAAAAATACGCTAGTCTGTAACCGCCCTGAAGGAATTTATTAGTTTTTTTATTCAAACAAATATCAAACTCAAACTCAAAATATCTTTATTCAAGTGGGTAACCAAGTACACTTTTGAATCGTCAAGTTAAATTAATCGTAAATTTACATTTACTACCAGTTCGCAAGTCAAGGGCGTATCGTTTCAAATTCAATGAAAAAATTTGCTACGGTCGTTCGTGTTGTAAGGTTACTGGTATATTCTTAACATCTCAAATATTCTTTATAAAATGCTCTCTGCGGAGCTAACAATAACTTAGATTGTAATGTTGCAGGTTTCAACAACAGCGCAGTATACTCAGACTGGACCCAAATGGACCCCGCAATAGTGTCAACTTCTGTTAACTTTGGTAAAAGTCAGGCTCCCGATCAGACAGAGATCTTCGCACGGTTCAATCATCTCACTGTACAACCTAATGGCATTAATAAGATACAGGTAATATGTCAACCATTAATATAGGGTAATTTTTTACCATTTGGTACAAGAAATAGTAGTCGTTAATTTATTACCATTTGGTACCAGAAATAGTGGTCGCTAATTATTACCATTTAGTTCAAGAAATAGTTGTCGGTAATTATTACCATTTGATACAAGAAAAAGGTATCGGTAATTATTACCATTTGGTACAAGAGAGAAGTTGTTTATCAATTAATAAGATAACCTATAATTTCTAACGATATTTTCAAATCTTTTTGGTCTAATATTATACAAAGTGTTATATATAGTGTGGTATATTGAGAGCTGATGGTGGAATACAGGTCCCGGCCATGATGCAACAGTGGTCTGGAGCGCCCAAGACGGCGTGGGGCGCTTACAACGGCATCCCAATGCCCCCGGGCTTCGCCCCTCCGAAACCCTCGCAGCACCCGGCCGAGTGCATCGACGCCAAGTAAAGTGCAATCGACGATTTCTTATAGCCCCTCTTTGGTGATATGTTCGATAAATCTTTGTATAAGGAAATATTTTAAAGAGAAATATGATAACAAAGGAATTTAAAATTAATTAATCCATTTGTTTTATTTGTTGCGGTCATTTATCATATTTCTTGTTTTCGCCGTCTCTTCGACTGAGTATATTATGTATATTTTAATATATATCGCTAGGTACGTTATTTGAAATTATTTTTTCTATAAACGAGATGCGAACAGGTTGAATTTGTACCTTATTGAGCCATTATGCATGAGAAAATATTAAATTAAAGGATTATTCAGTCGATCTTTTAATACCTGATCCAAATATATTCCTTGAAAATCCTCATCTAAGGCGACTGAAGACCACAGGATTAAGTATAAACAGTAGTATGTGAACATCTGAAAGGGTTTTTATTAGAATTATACATTCATTATATTCTATGAAATAGAAAAACAAATCGATTTCTAAACGTTGTAATAACCGTTTAAGACCATTTCACAAAGATTCAATCAAAAACGCGTCTTAAGCAAGAAAGTGTATTATGCAGAATAGGGAAAATAAAACACTACAGTGTGATCTCTTTTACTCGAATATCAAGGAAAATGCAAAAAAATCGAGTTAACGAGTTATCGACTTAATAAAAACTTCGAGATACATATGATTTAACTGTTGAAATTTCGTCTTACAGAGGCGCTCTTTCTAAGAGTATTTTTCGATATGTCGAGTCGAATTTGCATAACAAATCAACTTAAGTTTTGTAGTAGGTAAGTGTATATATTTTTACATATTAAAACTAATTACATATTAATAAAGTACTACACTAAAAATATCGTACAGTAAAAAATAAAAAGCTATGTTAGAAAGTTTTATGAATGTATTCATTCATTGCACGTGACAAAAAACAATAGATTAGAAGCCCCCAACCGAAACATTCATTTTGGATATTATTGCTATTATTTCGGGGAATTCCAAGTAAGACATCATATTTTACCAACTACGACTTACGGAGTTTCCTTTTTGAAATTCGAGTATAAATATGTAGTATCAATACTTTGTAAGGAAATAACATTTTGTTTGAGTTACAAATTCAAAATAATTCGAGATACCGCGTATTTAAGGGAAGCGGAAGGGAATGGCATTTTTTTTCGGCTTACGGAGGATTTCGACTTAACAAGGTTCGAATTATAGATATTCCACTGTATATATTTATGATAATAGGTATAAAAATATTTTTTAATAAATACATTTTGTAAGTAACTTTAAGGATATTTAGTCCATAATATAAAATATGTTGCCAACAAAATAGTATGTTAACAATGAATGTTATCAATATATCCTCGTGGATCTGGTCCGTCCCATGGAACCAGTGTCCCATCATGCCAGACATATAAACCACCATTTTCTGGATCCAAAGCTAGTTGTATAGGCACCACGGCGCCCTCTTCAGGAGTCGCGGAGCCTGCTCCGTGCGTCATGTCAGAGATGACGTATCCGGGATGTACGCAGTTTACCCGAATACCTGAAAAGTAAGTTACCTTTTAAACGTCAATTTGGTAGCACGTGAAAAATGCTAGATATCGTTTTTTTAGCGAAACTAGTAAATACAACTATGTATAACAGTAACCGTTCTCTCACTAATTTAATTTGCTGGATAACTGACTAACAGAAGACAAGTGAAGCTCACGAATGTAAGCAGACCGAGCTCCTTTTATAATTACAATGAAAATAATCGTTATAATATCCAAGATATTAATTAAATAAGATTGGTTTTGAGAATGCGCATGGTAGGCTCTTTGGATATTGGCCTTACGTTCGCATGAATATGTGAGCCGGTCCATTAATGTTGAGTCGAGCACTGGATAGTAAGCGGATGGTGAATGCATCGTATGATCCGTGACGTCAGTGTCGTGATCCTTTGCCTCGTTTAGATGCTCTCATCTACTAACTGGCGAACTGGCTCGCTACAATTTATAATAAGCCACCTAATTGGGTTTTGCAGCACTACGTATACATAATATAGTGGAAAAAGGATGGTAACATCTCAACTATTACGCAAAAAATAATAAAACGAAAAAACGACTTCGAGACGTGTAAGCAGATAATGCGATAAGTTTTGCAATAGAACTTTAGAAAAGAAATGTCTATATCGGGAAAATATCAGTAAACAGATGGTTTATACACTTCGGAGGAATAATAAAGTAAGTAACAACCTTGTTTGTAAATATGCTATAGGGCTAAAATTGTTTCTTCTTGTTCTTACTCCTGTGACTTCGAAAAAAATAATATTATAGAAACTTAAAAAATGATACTTACCTTTCGACTTTAATGCTTTGTTTAACATAAAGGTGTATGCGTTAACAGCTACCTTTGAAACTACATACGGAGAAGAACCCCACAATTCATTCTCGGTGTTGGTTTTTACACATTCAATATATTCTTGCATTAAATCTTTTAGGTTTTGTAAAGTCAAGTCTGGAGCACTTATTCGTTGCCTAATACAATTTGACGGTATCCTTGACAAGTGTCCAGAAGAACTGGATATGTTTAGAATAGTTCCGTTGTCTTTTATTAACGGTAACATGGCTTCAGTAAAGTTTACCAAAGAATAAAAGTTCACTAGAAGTGTCTGTTCAGCTTGAAACAGCTTTGGTTCTGGGGCATCTTTCAGGAATAATACTCCAGCATTGTTAATTAAAATATCAATTTTACCATGCTTGTTTTTAATATATGTAATAAATTTTGTTATACTTTTATCATCAGTAATATCAAGTTCATAAAATTGAGGTGATAAATTTATTTCTTTTAATTTTTTACACGCCTCAAACCCCCGTTTTGAATCTCTCGATGTTAAGTATACAATTCCATGGAACTTTTCACAAAGCCTTTTTACTAGTGCGAATCCGAGTCCCTTGTTAGAACCCGTCACTACAGCAACATCGGTCATAGTAAGCTAAAATAATGTTATTATTAGTTAGTAAAGAACGGAACGGTAAAATTTTATAGGAAAACATGCGCTTACTATCAATTATTACTGAATTATAATATACTACTGTTGTATCTCTGGGTTGTAATTTCGGCCAGTTCTTTTTAATTAAATATTTGAACTCACATTCTTGGTTGTAACGTATGAAGATAATAATTTTTTAACCTTTTGAAAAATCTGGTTTAGGATTAATAATAAAAATTCACACTATATTTGTGAAATGAGCTATGAAGTACTTCTTATCGTTCGATTCATATGTATCTAATGAATACATACAATTTACAGATAACACAAATAATTACATTTCTTATCTCGAGTTTCATAAGAAGAATATTTTAAGTATTAAAATATAATATGTAGGTCATTGAAAATTATAGTGTAAAAATATCTAATGCAGTATACAGTTAATATTGCTTGGGATCATTTTAATCACAAAAACTGCTAAATGGATTTCGCTAATATACGCATAACGCATGGGAGAAAAGGATAAATTATGTCCCTACTCCCTAGACCTTACCAGACATTGATAGCTCAACGTCCGGCTACTTAATAGCTGTTCTAACTTGTTGTAGATAGAGTATAGAACTAGATGAGCTTCTAAAATAACAATAATAACTAAAGAGAGAAGGCATTAACGTGAAATACTTAAGTGCGACAGAGTATCGGTTTTTCTGTCTCTATTTGCGTATCGGGTTTTATTTGTTTACCGCCGAACGCTTGGTGGTAAACAAAATGTCACCAATTTGCCACATTGCCACTATGTTGTTATAAATCTGTGAAACCCAAGTCAAACCCATATTAACGTAAGACCTTTTTACCTCTTCTTTTTTATCCTTATAAGAGGTGTATTTAAAGTGTCAGTCATGGTGCATTGTTGCATAATTGGCTGTAAAAGCTATCGTGAACGTAAAGAACCAAACATAACCTTTCATCGGTAAGTAGCTTATTTTGTCACGACGCAGTAGCTTTGTTCAACAATTATTCATTCGAATGTGTATTTTGCAACATATTGTATAATATATATTGTCAAGAATAAGCAATCTTTAATGTACTGTAAATACGACAATTCCAAACATATTTTTCAGTACTAACCGACTAAATTGCGAATCATGTTACCTACGTCAGGTAGCTGCCATACTTCGTGTCCTTTGTAAATAGTTGGATTATAACTCGTTGGGGCTACCAGCACTTGAATAAATTTTCCACTTTTTTCAGTTTTCCGAATGAACCGTTTTAAAATAATAAATGGACTGAGTGTACCGGTAGATTAAACTGGCATCCAACTCAAAACGCCCGGATATGCTCAAGACACTTTAAAAAAGTGTTATAACCAAATAATAAAAATAATAATAATATTGTTATTGTTTTGTTCCTGACCTAACCAATGTAGACTGTACACAGTGTAGTCGTTAGCCCTAGACTTCACGCACACTGCTGTGTGTGTACAAAAATGGCGTCTGTGTATTACACACACTTCCTATAATGAAAGTCTATGGTGTATTAGGTAGAACAGTTACTACGCAGCGGTTGTATAGAGTGTTCCGGTGTGGTTTAATTTAACGTAACTGATTAATATGCGTGTGGAGTGAGCACCCCCTGAAATTTTTTGTTGGGTATTTCTTATAGTATAAATTACCCCACAAAATAGGGATTTTTTTTCTCATGGCAATATTAGTGGCATTATGAAGTTATGTCAATCATTCGCTATCTCACACGCCGTACGCTGATGCCTGGTCTATACCATAGTCAGTCTACGTAACTTGTACGGTTTTCTCTATACGTATTTGTCAGCTGTCTACTGTCGTCATTAGTTGTTCTTTCATCATTGACATTGACGGTTATATTTTATTTTTAATTCTGAAAAGTAAATTGCTCTCGATTTTTAAAATCTGTGAATATTGTGAAATATGACGGTGTGGTGCTAAGTTCTCTGGCTTAATTAATATTTATGGTGTTATACGCATAATTCTCCAACTGCGAAATTAATACTTAAACAAGTTAAGGTCCCTTTCATAGTTGCTTCTGTTAGCGCTAACTGAGCCTGCTACTTGTTTTTGCGGTTGACTTCCTTTGTGTCCATTGTTATTGGATATTATAAGTGAAATTTTAAAGATGCCTATATTATTCAGTGTAGTTGCCAGAGGCACAGTTGTTCTGGCTAAATATGCTACATGTGCTGGAAATTTTACTGAAGTAACTGAGCAAATATTATCAAAAATTCCTCCCCACGACGACAAACTTACCTACTCTCACGGAAACTATCTCTTTCACTACATTGCAGAGAATAAATTAGTTTATTTTTGCATTACTGATGATGTGAGTATGCATATTATATCTTATTTCAGTTTCAGTGGTCCTATTAAAACTTTATTAATAAGTGTCATATTCTGTTTTAGAAATTTCAAAGGTCGAGAGCTTTTCTCTTTCTCAATGAAATTAAAAGAAGGTTTACAACAGTATTTGGGGATACGGCCCAAACCGCCATTCCATATGCTATGAATAGTGAATTTGCAAGAATACTGGCCACAGAAATGAAACATTACAGTGAATCTAAAGACCTGGAAACAATATCAAGAGTCCATGGTGAACTAGATGAATTAAAAAACATCATGGTTAAAAATATCGGTGAGTAAACTATTAAGTTCTGTTATAATCTATGTAAACTATTCTATTACAATCCTACAGTATAGTAAAACTGGGTGTATATCAATCAACCAGATGCCATACATTTGCCATTCTATATTATTTGCTTAAAATTTACTAATTGGTCAAAATAATTTAAAATGCAGGCCATATTTGAATACTTTAACAGAATAATACTATAGTACATTATCTAATAAAATTATGATATCTTAAAATTACAGTCAAAATCGGTTGTAAAAACCAATAGTCGTAACTGCAGATGACACTGTTATTAAGTAACTAATAATTCGGCCGGGACCATTGATTTTGGTCAATATAACCGGTATGTTGTTCTAAACAATGTCGTTGTAAACAGTTTTGACTGTATATCTGAAAAATTGTTTTATTTAACTTGAAGTAATTAGAAATTTAAAATGTATCTATTTTGTGATATATGTTTAATTTGCTATTTGTTTTCCGTATTAAACTGTTTTTATTTATGGCCCCTTATCTCTTTTTATCATTATGATTTGTGTACACTATCAATACCTCAATATGTCAATGATCTATACATAGTTAATAATATACAAAATGATTCACTATAGTACACACTGTTTAATTAATGATAACAATATAAATGCTTTGAGAATTCATTGTACACATTTAATTTAATAGTGTGCATATTTTGTTTCTTGGCATGTTTCATATTTACTGTGTTTTCTCAATGTGAAACATTGTTTAAAATCAGTAACTTAACTAGTATATTCAATAAAATGTTAAAATCAATATAACAATTATGTTAGTGGTTGCTTTTATTTCCGATGTATTTACTGTTATGTCAATGTTTGATTAAGGCATTTCCGATAATATTAATAAACATAATTATGTGGCTCTGTACTTTAATTAGTAACATACATTGTATGTAACCTGGTCCAAGGTTTTGGCCCCTCATTAATAAAATCAATGCTTTCTGATATAGATAATTTATAACAAAATGGACACAGAAATGTGTCACTTTTTTACCCCATTAATTGGTTACATATATGAAAGTATATAAAAACGTAAGTTACTATTATGTTAATGACAATATTATAATTGAAATGATAACATTGATTTTCTCGCATTTATCATGTAGAAACATCTAAATTATTCCTGCTTAACTAACCATGACTGTTTTTGCCTTTTATCATGTATCATCAATTTTCATATGATTAACTCTCAATGTAAAGTTTAATAAGACCTCAATTATATATAATATGTATCTATTACATTCAATATGTAATTTTGCAAATATACTACTTGAAATATGTACTAAGAATATACAAAAACTTAATTCTAAGTGGGGTCACTTTGTTGGGGTTGCTTCATGTTCCCTAATCTCAAAAAACTAACTGGACCATAAACAATCAACAAACAATTTTGTGTTTCACAATATCCCGAATTACAGACTATACAATGTTTCAATACCAGCTACAGATCAAACTCTTATTTTATTACTTCCACGTTTTTTTAAGTAGAAGAAAAATTAACCAACTGCAAATGGTTACCAGCGGCTAGAAAAGGGTTTACAATAATTCATTTTAACATTGTAACCAGGCCACAATTAGTATTTAGTACACAATTTTCCATGCTTTGTGGCGGTTTAGTATTTAGTTTTATTGGTAGGTTTCTGGAACACAAAAAAGGAGGCTATTTATTGTGCTCCACTTATTTAACCTACTACTGCTAATTGAGTTCATTAGTACAAAGTCTTGTAATTTCCTTAATCTGGATAAAACCTTAGGTTTATTATAAATAATCCAATAGCCGTTTGACTTGTATTCTTTTAAAATATTCTACATAAGTTGTATTCGGCCAAAATGGTAATATTATTTTAAAGAATTTACAGCGGTTTATTAATACAATTGTACAAATGTTTCAATTGTTATTTAAATTTAAATAAAAAATCAATTACAGATAGCATGGCGATGCGAGGTGAAAAATTGGAGCTGCTTCTGAATAAGGCCGATAATTTGGCAACAAATGTAAGTAACTGTGTAAATAAATTCAGTCACTATTCAATATTCTGTTAATTTGTGGTAGTCTAATTATTTAGAATGCGAATCTTAAAACCCTGGTTGAAAAATAGATTTATTTTTGTATGCGCAACAAAATTCTCTCGTAAAGGAAAATCGTCATTTCTTAGATATCACTGACTGATTTTAAGAATATATATTATGGTAATATATTATAGATAAAAATAGTATAAGTTTTCTAACCACTTTTCACTGCCGTTCAGTTTTAAATTCTGTTTTGTAGAAAATAAGACCGCCTCCGTTGTTTAGTGGTTAACGCGCGACATGCTATCAGGAGTTCTTTGATTAAATTACCGATGAAACAATAATTTAATAGAATAAAATCGACCATTGTAAGTCGATCTTAAACTGTAATTAAATAATAGACGCAGAAATGTGCCATTGCAACAAGATCGACTACTCACGTGACTTAACACGCACTTACGTTTATAAAATGTCCAAAGTATTATGAAAATATTTTGAAAGAAAAGTTGTTTTAAAAAAAATTAAAAGTCATAGCACTTTGATATTTATTTACAAAATATATATTTTTCGTCATCGCGATATAATATCCAGTACATTTTCGTTTTATCGATTGTATTTATATTGTGTGAATCACATAATACAAGGAAGTTAGTTATGTATTTGTTTAATAATTACGTTCCCATGTGACGTCAAAATAAAACCGTGGTTTTAAAAACGTGTTCTCAAAAGCCTTAGGAGTAACAGCTGTTCTATTAAAATAGTATACAACTTCGCTTACTATAGGAAAATATACGACACGTTGCATTCATTACTGATGTTTTGGATAGAAGAACACAGGTATTAAGTAAGGACTGATATGGTTAGGTTTACCGATTGTGTATAATAATACAGTCAAAACCGTTTACGACGTTTAGAACAACATACCGGTTATATTGACCACAATCAAAGGTCCCGGCTGAATTCTATTGTATTAGGTACTTATAACAACGTCATCGGCTGTTACGACTATCGGTTTTCACGACCAAATATGAGTAGTCTTGATCAGATTTGACTGTATTTTGTTTAGAGTCAGAAGTAAATTGTAATATTTACAAAATCACTAACCATGCTATAGAAATATTTGATTCTATTTATGTTCTAACAACAATCGGGGATTATTTGATACCTTCAATTGTTGTCCAAAACGGTAATTTTAATTATATTTATTCGTTTTATATCATCGCAACTGCAAGGCAATTGATCTTTGTCACATTTGTCAGCACATGTGCACATTTCTCACATTTGCATACAAAATAAATAAAATAAATTTAACTATTAACAATCATATCATATCAAACTCAAACTCAAAATATCTTTATTTATAAAAATTCCGCCATTAAATTATAAAAGGCATTATTTTTAAATACTAAATCTAAATGTACTCTTAGCCGGAATAATATCTCGTCTCTTTCCGTCTAATTGTGTTTACGTTGTAATGAAAACTTTATGATAAAATGGGATTCATGTTTAAAACTGCCTAAGAGTCTAAAGAATCTGTTTGTCTGTGTTAAATTAATCAGAGCAAGTTAACTATTTGACATGAATTGATGAATGTCGCCACTAACGAAATGCCGGCTAAAATCAGCTTTATTGTTGCAACGTTTTAAATAATTGGATTTCTGTAGCTATTACTGTGATTTCGGGCTTGTTATGTAAAAATTATATTTTCTCGTTATGTCAATTCTAGATAACCTGATTGCGATAACGATCTAGTAAGGTTTCACTTCTTAAGGTGGGAACTGACCAAAGTTACGAGGTGTAATGTAGCATTCGCATCGAGCGTGTTACGCATCGAGCATGTTACGCTGTGTTCTAAAATCGGCGTAACATGCTCGTCAAAACTCTGTGCTCCGCTTTCGCCGCCAGTGTTCACGAGATGGCCAACAGCGAGGACGTGTTGATATCTTTCATTCTATTTCATCATTGTTTCATCCAAATTAAGAAGAAGAACAAAAAAAGGTTACTGGACATCAAACTTATTCAAAAACACAGGCGTATGAGGTGGTTTGTTATTGATTGCAATATTAAAAAACCGAATGATTACTGGACAGTATAAAAAACTGAAGAACTTTTGAATTTAATTGGACCAGAAGTACTTAAAAAAGACACAATTTATAGAAAATCATAATCATGATCAATTGCGACGTGCGACGCGTACTGACTGAACCGCATAACAGTCAAAGGATTCGCTGAAAAACCGACCGCCGCGCCGGGTGGAGCACTCAAAGCGAGCAACGAGCGGCTCGTTGCTTGCCGATTTCCCCATAACACGACGTACTGACTGCATGAATGCTCGCTGTGTAACGTGTTACATTACACCTCGTAACTTTGGTCAGTTCCCACCTTTACAGAATGGTTCACGTTTTTACACATATAGACGTTTCATACGACGGAATGAACAATAAATATTGCTTCTAATTTACATTTACTGCGAGTTCTGGGGTGTAGAGATATTTATTTTATAGAATAGTGGGCAAACGGGCAGGAGGCTCCACTGACTCCATGGACGTCAATACCAGAGAGCTCGCGAGTGCATTGCCGGCCTTCTAAGAATTGGTACGCTCTTTAACTGAACTGGCGAAAAACTCTCATTCACTAGGTTTCTTACAAAATGTTTGTAAGCTTTCTATACGTGCAATTATTACTGTGTCTATGAACTGTCGATATTATACAAGATACGATAAGGTTTTAATTTCCTAACAATTATTATACTTGAAACTAGATTACCTATATGTTGACTACTTAAAATGTTTTTATTTTACTACATATTACGGCTTAGAGCAGTGTTGGCCTAGTGGTTTCAGTGTGCGACTCTCATCCCTGAGGTCGTAGGTTCCATCCCCGGCTCTTCACTAATGGACTTTCGACTTTCTTTCTATGTATGCATTTAACATTCACTCAAACGGTGAAGGAAATCATCGTGAGAAATCCGGCTTGCTTTAGACCCAAAAAGTCGACAGCGTGTGTCAGGCACAGAAGGCTGATCACCTACTTGCCTATTATATAAATGATCATTAAGCAGATACAGAAATCTGAGGCCCAGGCCCAATCTAAAAAGGTTGTAACGCCACTGATTTATTTATATATTACGGCTGTTAAAACGATGAAATTACTATTTGTATGCTGCTAGTCTTAGCAAACATATTTAAATTAGTTTTTGTATTAATAATAAAATATTTGTTTCCAGTCGGTGTCCTATAGAACTTCAGCGAGAACCCTCCAGCGTTCACTGTTTTGGAAGAATGTTAAAATGTATGTCATAATGGCTGTTATATTTGGGTTCGCTATTTACTTGATCGGCGCCATGGCTTGTGGTGGTTTGGCGTGGCAGTCCTGCGTTGGTTAAGTGATATTTTATACATACCGTTCGTAGATTTACTCGACAGTAATCAGTATTGAGAAAAACCGAATCTCCTTGTCCATTTGACATTGTCAAAATGAGTTTGACAGTTCGATGTTGATGGTCTGTATTGCAACAGTTAAATATTAAAATATATTAAGTGTCAGAACACAATTAAAAGTTCATTGCTTATAAATAAAATACAGTAAAACGGAACAACTCATTGTTTAGATTTGCATAACTGATAATTTACGAAAAAAGAAATAATTATGTTCAGCAGACTTTCAATTAAACTTTTAATAAATGTTAAATACGCAATAATTCGAGTAAAAATATCTAAACATGTTCTCTATATGAACAGTATTTTACGAGCTTGAAATAATTCTAAGTATTAATTGATCGAGTAAATATACGAATGTTTATTATAACCCCCTTATAAAAAATCTGTTATATTACTTTTTTAACAGTCTTTTGTCTCTTTCTGTCAAATTGTGTTTACCCTATGATGAAAAGAGTCAGTTAAGTTAAAACAGTGCAATCGGTTTAATTACATCAAATTCAATTGTCGAATATATGTATATGTTATCGAATTGGCATTTTGAATATAATGAACCGGTTTCGTTAATTAAATCAGATGTTATGCTCAAGGACATAATACGATGTATTTTTAAACAAACAAGACCAGAGAATGTAGACAAATTAATTTGTGAGCATTTTTTATTGTTAAGAGATATTTGTCTGTGGTTTGCCAGTAATACACAAATAATTAAATGATATAAACACGAAATTATTACATTGTAGCTTTAACTTGAGCGCATCGTCGAGTTATCTAATGAATTCTTGTTTATATCGGTTAAGAATTATTTAAAAAGAAATGTTATTTTAAAAATATAACATTTATATAATTAAAGACTTTTTAAGTTCTTCAGCGATTTCAAAGCGGTTACCATGACTTAACACAAGACTGATGCTTTAAATATTTGTGCTTTGTAAAGTCACATTACAATTCACGAGAAAACTAACTTGCCAGTGGTTGTGGTATGCACCAGGATTACTCCATAGCCTTTGACATTGTGCCGTGGGCAAAGGCAGTCTCTGACACTGCCGATTTTGACAAAATTTGACAAAATTTTAATAGCGTTGTGGTAACCTTGGAATCTTTTAGAAATAAAGGGACTTGGATTTGTAATAAGTACTAAATTTCTGGTTTTAATGAATATATTTTAACTTTAACCCATTCAACTGGCACTTGATAACAAAAAATGTCGTCTTCGTTAATAAAATGTCTGTCTTATTGTTAACCACTATATCTTTCTACAATAGCTTTCTTTAACTGGCTAATTTAAGCTCCGGACAAATATATACACGAATACGGCAACAAGAATTTTAGATTTTAGCAAAATAAAAGTTCCCTTTAAAATTCGACAAAGCGATAATTTTATATCTGTGCTTTTTTAGTCATGGTAACCCTGGTTCAAAAGTGTATTAAAACATGTGTACTTGTTCGTATGTTTTGTTTTGTCATTGTTAGTGTGCACTGTCACTATCAGACTTCTGTGCCTTTGGGAGCGTTCAAGTATTACGTCACGCAATTTTCGGAGATTATTGACCCCCCGTGTAACGCTCCGTTACGTTTTTCTGTACCCAAGCACAGTACTGTAACCAACTATAGTAAAACGTTTCCACCTATTGACCACCTATTGACTCTTTATGCCTAAAAGATACCATCATGTGGTGTAAAGTACTGGAGAGTCGAAAATAATATTAACAATTACGCGTAATTCAATCCCCACCCCGCATCGTAACGTTTTACAAAAGGCCCTCCCCCCCTGTCGGGGAATTCGTAGGTAGAGAGGACTTCTTAAACATGGTCGATGAAACATTTCGGGTTACAGAACTTAAATACTTCTAGCAAACCACAACGTCACCATATTTCAGCTAAAAGTTCTAGGTGACAATATTAGCATCATTCAATTCAATATTTGTAAAATTTTAAATCTAATCATTAAGTCGAGATGTTTATGGCTTTGCATGCGTTAATTAAAGAAATTGTTGCGTGACTTAATTTTATAATTGTATTTGTACCGTCGTATCATAATATAATCTATGTACAGAAATCGGCCACATTTTAATATGTATATAAATGCAGATTTTATGATTGTTATTTATTTGTATAATATTAAATAATACAATTATAATGACATCGTTTTTGTGTAATCCTAAACCTCACTCAAATAGCAGCTACTCAAAGTTAAGATACTGTTAGCCAAAATGGTGTAAATTTTGAGCAGGTGCTAAATTTGACGTTTGAGTATATTTGGAAAAGTAATTTTTGATTCAACATTAAACAAGAATATTATTTAGTGCATAATCGTCTTTATTGTCTACGATGTGTATTTCAATAGTATAACACTACGGTCTTATTCATAAACGCTTCAAATAGTTTGTTTTGTCACGTTTATTTACTTTGTATTTAGCATAACAGTGTTAGGCTACAGACGGTAAATTAAGTACTGCGCAGCGCATGGCAACTATGACAGTTGACATTGATTGACGTTCGTTCAGGTGTTCTGTGTATAACTTTTAAAAACTGCATAGATAAACTTCACTTTTTGCTTTTGAAAGTTAATTTACACAGTGACAAAATACAAATGACGTGTTATGTGCAGTGCGTTACAATATTTTGAAAACTGAGTTTATTTTGCTTGAATTATAGTTTTAGCATTTATTATTGAATGTTTCAAAACCTATTTGACCTTTTAAAGTGCGCTGGTGAATAGGACCGTGAATATTTACTATAGTATTATTGTAATAAGAATTTATATAGAATCACCTGCTTTTAGATGTTGCGTTTTTGTCATTCATTAAATTGTAAATGTAAATGTGAGTAAATGTAAATTACCATAAAATCCCGTTTGTGCCTCAATTTTTAATTTGTTTTCTAACCAGCATGTAATCGACATTATCTACACTTATAAATTCTGTGTAATCATTTCTATTATTTAAACGTAAAATCTAATCGTAAAAGCTCTCTTAAATATAAGAGGATTTTAAAAGAAAGGGAGGTTATATCTAGTGTAATCATTATTATTGTAAAAAGCATAATCAAAGCAATATAGTATATGTAAAATTCATCCAATTATAAAGACTTTTGAGTATTGTGATATAACGTTTATATTTAAGTAAAACATTTGTTTATTGATTGAGGAACTATGTTATAAATTTGTAGATTATTATAATGGATTGTTTTATTTAATAATACTCCCAAACCTTTCCTTTAAAATAAAACCGTTCTTGTCTACTGAAAGCGATAAATTTAAAGTCAACTTCCGTTTTTAAGTATAAAATAAACTTATTAACTCTGATAATCACTATAATTCTTGATGATCTCTAAAATACATCTAATACAATTTGATTATAAACAAGCTCTGGATTCTAAGTTCAAACACTACAAATACGAAATGAGTCTGAAAAGTTCTGAAAGGATACCGACGTGTTGCGAAATCAAGTATTTCATTCAAGTTCATCGGAAGCAATAGCGACGGTATTCTACCCTAGGCTGCTCACTTCCGGGTAGCGTCAGATTGATCCCGGTGGCTAGGGAGTTAGGGTGCGCCCCTCCCTTCTCGGTCACTTCCCGGCACTCGCGCGCCGTCCTTTGCCGCGAGAGGGCGTTTGCTGCGTTCCGAGTATTAACCACGTGTATATTTTCCGTGTCAATACGCCGACGCGATGCGTGCCTAGAATAGCAACCGGTCTATTCGTGTGTAAACGAATGTTTGTATCGCATTATTGTTGTTCCCTAGGGATCAGTGACGGACTATGGATGCATGATTTAATTATTTTTCTTTTACATAATTTATAGTACTTTCTCAACGTTTATTTAAAGTTAGCAGGTATTTAGAGATCAAACAAATGCGATTATGAATATGAATATTTTATTCATAGTTCAACGATAGATCGTCCATAACAAATAGTTTTTGTTGTCTGTGATACATATTTATGAATTGTTTGAATCGCGCCGAAGACCAATATGATTGACGGCTTCGATTTTGGCAAGTAGCCTTCGTACCTTCACCGATAAAATATTCCTATTCGACTAATGACATTGAGGTAACTTGATAATATAAGAATAGAGGTTACAATATAACATTCCATAGTTGGATACAATTTAATTAAAAAATATCCGTTGTAGTGCGTGATCGGGCCTGTTTAATGTCGCAGGAAGCGGTGTCGATTTTGGGGAAGGTTAAACCGGGAACTGTTACAGGTCATTGTTCCTTTTTACGTCGAAACATTCATTTTGTAACGCAGATAAATTACTATTGTTTGATTAACTTTTCTTTGTTTAAACACATCTGGTTTTGCGCTTCAAACTTAAATTTAAATAGGCGCCATACAAGTTTGAACTTAATATTTAAAATTTAATTACGTTTTAAACAGCTTAAAATGGGTTAACGCTATGGAGATAATGACTGTTCTATTCGAATTTAAAATGGATTACAAAGAGGTGAGGAAACGGACTGTATTTTAATGGATTTTGTTTGAATGGAAGTTGAATAGAAGTGACAAAGATGGATGATAGTTCGCCGGATCTGTCGCTCAAGTTGCGACGGGGGTCAAGTGACTCAAGGGAGTCCTTCTATATGGACTTTGCTCAGGGGATCGACTCGGATATTGAGGAAGTGACAACTATTGAGAGGATAATTCCGGAACACCCGGGCGGAAGGACTGAAGGCGATTCAGACACACTCGCTACTCCATCTGGGCTTGAAGACAAGGATTTATCGCAATGGTAAGAAAAATAATTTATCTATACATATGTAGCTATTTATACATGTATATGCACAGTGTACAGTAACAATAATGTATAATACAATATCTTAAAAAAGTTTTTATAATGCCTAATTTTAGTCACGGAATTCTACGTCACCAAAGTTCACAGAAAACATTTTAAGAAGTAAACGGACAGTAATTTAGGGAAGTATTACAAAAATTCCACTTTGAGAATAGTTTTGTTTCATGAGTGCTTAATGGAGTTCGAAAAGTTTATTTTAAAACATTACGTTGACTTCCATTGTGAAAACTGCTCGAACCCAATCGATCGCAGACAAATTGAGCGACGTGTTTGTTTGTACTTAATTAGTACCGCTTTACATATAGGATGCTGTCTATTCTAGGTTCGGTATGTTGATGTGTAAAGAGCCATCTTTTTTAAGCTAGCTTTATAGACTGTTGTTTCCACGAGAATGTAAGTGCGTGCTCCTATTTCGCCATGCCTCCTGCTGATAGAGGACAAATCTTTGTTTTTAATTAATTTTATTATTATTTATTACTTCAGATGTCATGAGGAACGTGGTGTAATGGTTGCAGCTCCTTACAAACGTTGTGTAAAAAAAAAAACTTTTTGAGTTTATTGCCAGTTCTTCTCTTCCGTTCTACGCCCTTGATTTGAGAACTGGCAGTAAAATAGAAGCATTTAATGTATATTTCTTTTTTGATGTTCATACAAGTGTACATTGTGTTACCTATATGAATAAATGATTTTTGACTTACTCGACTGAAACTAGTATTGTTTCATTCGAAGCCACGACCTCCTTGTAGAATGTCTGTTAAGCCTCGGAGATTGTATGCCATGCTGTCATCTTAAAATGATAGATCATTCGAGTGTTAATGTATAGTATATGTCTATCATTTGTCATTTCTGATAGACACATTTTCTACTCGTTATATCTGGAACTTTGAAGTAAAATCAAAAAGTTTCATTTAAAACGCGTCCTAATGATTCATAACTCCTTGCGATCTAAATATGTCATAACAATCTGCAGTTGCATATGAAAACGAAATGAAGTCGTCAACTCGCGAGATTTGCGAGATATGAATGTGATGCACGTTATTTATATTAAAGTATTTCTTAAAATTAAATGCACGCAGACTATTCGTACTTATATTTTTAATATATACCTAGTTGTTTTCGTAAATTTCTTTGTACTTGTTCTGTCACCATAACAAATCATATCAGCGTATACAACTGTTAAGAATTAATGGGTATGATAATGTTTCACCATATCATGTATTGGCTAAAAGTATTTTCTGAAATCCTTCCATTTGATAAAACAACCACACGGTTCAAACTGTTCGTTTAAACGTCAGAACACTATACGGCTACAATATAAAAAATCTATCTGTCTAGTTAAAACCTTCTCATCGTTAAATTTTTTATTATAAAATCATTTTAATGCGTGTAATTATATACTAAAACGGTAATACTAGGTGCCATTATGGCCAATATAACCGCAACGCGCGGACCGCAATGTTTTATGTTATAGCACTTTGATCGGCGCAAGAGCAGTGTCACTCAACCACTCGCCTGACAGGTCGCTCGGATAAGACTTTCTACGGAGCTGTAGGTCAGATAACCTTATGGGGAATGGAACTTATTTAGGTTATCATTCACGTTAACGCGCTACTGTTATGTCTGTCTAGTAAAGAAATAGTAAACTTTGCAATCTATTCAATTTGAGATCTATTCAAGAATCCTTTATTAATAGTGAATATGAAAGTGCTATAAAAGTTATCTGCTTTGAAGTTACTTAAATTTTATTAATATTTGAAAAGGTATGAAATTGACTATCAATTTCAAATCAGCTTAACTTTTTTATCGACATATTAATAACAGCCGTTCTTAAAGTAAATAATTAAATAATAAAAGTAGAGTAAATGTGGCAAAAACGATGCAGCGCTTGAAGATGTTTTTAGTTTCCGTCTTTGTGTACCTACTTGTGCAATTTACAAAAACATTTAAAGATCTTCCTACTAGAATTATAAATAACGACTTAATATGTTACTTTTAGAAATAATTATTATTGTATTGATGCTTATTTGTGTGAAACATTATATAAATTAAAAACATTACATTAATTTTAATAATGTGATGATGTACCTAGTGATAAAATAATATAAGAATTGACTATGCTGATATGATTATATCATAATGTATTATAATATGTAACTACTATATTAAATTCTAACTTTTAGTTATGTAAGAGAAATTTGCACACCATTACCACCATTATGTGTGGCAGAATATACGAAGTTTAGATTGTGCCACCATTATATTACCATATTCTTGCAAATAAATATGTAATAATTATTTTCATTAAACCAATCCTTAACTCTTGATAAATCTGAGAACGACGGTTCAAGTTCAATTATTAATCGACGATGTTAGTATATGAAATTAACCAACAAGCTAATCAAAACCTGACAATTACCGCAAAACCTATTAAACAAAGATCACACCCAAAATTAGCTTTATCGCTTAACGATTTGAGTCGTTAATCCACCTTTTATCCCAAGACTGTAAAGGAGCAATTGTACTAGCTGAAAAGTTCATTCTCAGGAATGAGAGTATGAATGAACTATGAAGCGACCTCTATAGATAACAATTATGACGTCGCAGATTTCCAGGCTTTGATTTATTACGTATTCAAAGTTATACGGCCTCATTTATATTGATCTAGAGTTCAATGACCGGCAGGATAATACATAATTTGCGCTTCTCATTGTTATGGAATGTTTAAAGATTTCAAGGTGGTGGACTTTGGTGAAATGCTGCGTACTTTTGAAATTTTACGTTGTATGTCAGGGTGGAATCACAAAGTTTTCATTGTTATTGTTTTGACAAACTTTACCTTGCTTTATCTTAGTTACTTGTTTAAGATTTAACTTTCATATCCTGCGAACATCACATCTTTAAATAATACTCACGGTTGGTCCCGTATTATTTATCTTTATACTCCTTTATCCGTATTATTTAGCGCCTAATTTTCTTAGCGCCTTATTTTTGCTGTTCTTTCTTCTTTATTTCTAACGTTTTACCCTGTATACCGGCTCCTCATCATTGCCCTTTGATGATGATGGAATATAACATATAGCGCATCTCCTTCACCAAGGGACAGAAACTCTTGTGAATAAACTAATATTTATGTGACCATTCTGTCTCAGTGGATGTTCTGTTTGTACACTGGTCGTAAATTTTTTTCCTTACATTTCAATCTATGTTATGTCGTGATAAATGATTTCAACTAGGAGGGCTACAGTAGAATGAGAGCTACAGTTTTTTAAAGCATCTTTTTCCGCGCACCACCACTACGAACCGCCACTGAAGTATTTCCGAACCAATTCGACTGGTTTCGATGGTTTTCTGAAGTATTTCCGAACCTATTCGAGGGTCCTTAAAGAACAGAGCGTATCAATTCTTAAAAAGCCAGCAACAAACTTGCGAGCCTTCTGGCAATGTGAGTGTCCATGGGAGGCGGCATCACTTAACATCACTCAACAACTGTCTGTTTGCCCTCTGTTATAAAAAAAAAATGAAACTTTACGTATAACCAATCATCATGTAAGTGTAAAAGTATTCTAAACAAAATTGAATTCAAAAATGCCGACTATGAGTACAAATTGATGTTACCTATCATCCGTCGACACATTGTCACGACCTCACGATCTCACGAACATCATGTGCGGTCTGCGTATTAATAACCAGCGTATTATCTAATGAGTAATGTTTCATTAGCGTTTGAAAGAAAGAAATATCTCCTCATCTTAATGTTTAATTATTTGTATACGTATTATTGGATGAACTTAGAGTTCTACGAAGCTCTCAACAACATGCTATAGGAGAGTTCTATTACTACTTACTTTGGTCATATCGCCCGCCGCGAATTAGATAACCTAGAAGTTAGTTGTCAAGGCAAGCAAAAGGCCGCAGGGCAGATGGCCAACCCGCTGGTGTGGCCAAGTCACGATTCTCACGGGTCTCCCCGTAACAGCTGCGTTAAGGGAAGCTATAGACTGAACTAAGTGGAGAGATATCACTAGCAGCCAAGCAGGCACCTTGCGACCTGAATGAAGAATACGACTGAGAAGAATACGTATACTAGAACGTCGATAAAACTTGAATCTTGTTTTAGTTATCAAATATATGAGGTAGGAGACAAAGCTTTAAAGGTTTTCACTCGAGATAGATGTCAGAATACAGGACTGAAACACATTATTTATTTAGGATAGTCTTTGTTTACGTATGTTACGGAAACGGACAAATAAGTATGCAACACAAAACAGCGGAAGAAACCGCTTGTGAAACGGCGATATTATTATATTTAACTTAAATAACAATTATAAATTAAAACTCAATAACAATGTATAAATAACACGCAAATGTTAATAACAATCAATTTTTTGTAAAAGAAGCCATTTTTTGTAATTCAAATAAAAATAAATCAAGAAACGGAGTGTCAGAGATCACTATCAACAAACGAATTTGTTAGCTCTTTTTCTTATATCCGAGGTGGCGAGTTGGAAGTGTTTATAGTTAAACGCACCTCCTGAACCCGAAAGTAGCAATGTGGGACTCGACCTACACCAATGGAACAAATGGAATATCTGCTATTCGGAGACTAGGTGAGCAATACCCACTAAAACAAGCTCGAGTAAGAGCTTGGCCAGTTGGAGAGGGTTGGAGAGGCTTTGGGTGGTATGCCAAGCTCACAGTTGGACCGCGGCGCCAATATTTAGAGTATATTAGTTAGTTTTATTAGTCGTCCCACAATTTTTTTATAACATGCCTATATTATGATGGATGTTTTGAATCATATTGCTGGTCTACTCAGTATTTCACTAATAAATTGTTTTGTATCCATTATTTTATATGAGCTCAATGCGCGATAAAAACAAAATTATTTGTTTTGGTCGCGCGATGCTAAATGCGTCCACCACTGCCGCGGCCGCGGGCCGC